CTCCCCCTTTCCTCATTCAGCTCCCTCCTACAGACCGACTTCTGCTACAAGGCCCTCAAACACCACCCATGTTAGAATTTTATTCTGATACATTTTAAAGTTATTCTGATTTCAATGAACGGTCTTCTCTGGATCTCCCGGTACATCTTGCCCTCTCTCTAATCTGCCTTTCACACTGGAGCATTTGTGTCTCACACAGATCAGAGTGTGTTGTCAGCGCCTAACAAATAATAATAGCCGCCATGCCATTTGTATTACAAACAACCTGCCCAAGCCCCTTCATTCTGATCCCTTTAAGCAGGCATACATGGATAATTCAGCTACTAGCTATAGAAAGTTGCCATTTAATCAGAAAAGGAAGGGCCACCATTTCAAATTCAGCTGTGTTATCCCAGCCTTGTCCCTGACTGTCTAAGCACTACCATGTGCTCTGCAGTCTGGGTCTGCATGCCCTTGAGCCCCTTGGGACATTTGAATGACACAATTATACATCATAAATAGCTGGGGTATTTTTCAAACAGAAAAATGGTCACTTTTGACAAACTGATATAACAAACCATTTATCAACCACTGTAGCAAAGCATTTCTTTTGGCCCTTTTGTTCATTGGAAAAATGAACTCAAACATTTTCTGAAAAATAAGAGAGAATATTGAAGGAAAGTTGCCAGAGGAAGACGCAAGCTGGCTCCAACCCTACCTGCCATTACCAGCTTTTTTCTGGCCTGGAGCTGACGTCTTCCTCCATTTAGAATTCTTGCTTGGAGGGTTTATTTTTCAGAACACAGGGCCCCCCAAAATCCTAATGTCTCCTTTGTCAGTTCCAATAAGAGTAAAACACCACAGACTTGGTTTTCGTTGCAAATATGTGTATCCCTGTACTCTGCAAGGGCAGCCTAGCCATTGCTGCAATGTGGGTATAAGGGGAAGGGTAATCATTGTACCGCTTGAAGAAAGATGACATTCCAGATCAGGGTAATTTTCAAGTGCAGCTTTAAACTGAAAAGTGTTTGTTTTAAAATGAAGCAAGGAAAGTTTAGAAATATATTTTAACAAGTTTTCAGTATTTTTTTCTGTTCAGGCCTGATCCCATGAGGTGCTGAGCCCTTGAAATCCTGTTGCCTTCACCTTCCCATTCAGCACCATGCCAGATCAGGCATTTTAAAGGTATGTCTACACTGCAACTGGGAACAAGCCTCCCACCCCGGGTAGACAGATTCACGCTAGCCTGGCTTCCGCTTGGCACGTGCTAAAAATAGCAGTGTGGACATTGCAGCTCAGCTGGCAGCTCCGGTTCTCAAGCCTCCCTGATTCCCAGGGTCTGAGGTCAGGTGGGTGGCACGATTCTCCGCCAGAGCCACAATGTCTGCACTGCTATTTTTAGCACGCTAGCTCAAGCCCTGCTAGCGCGTGTCTCTATCCTCGGGCTGGGAGGCTGCTGTGTAGACATAGCCTAAGAGTTTTACTTGAGAGTCACGGGTTGAGCATTTTGTGTTTCTGAAGCTATTTAGATGCATCATGATTTATTCTTATGTTTGAATTCTGTCTCCAAGTCATAGGCGTGTATATTTGACTGGAAGTCCTTCTATTGGCTTATGCTCTCTTAGTTTCTTGGATAATTCCATGAGAGTGATTTCCAGCTGAAAAACATCACAGTTATATTTCCAGCAGTTTACTTTCTCTTCATTTGTTTACTTGGGTGCACTGGACCTACATGAAACATTGGCAAGAACAATAATGTGCATGTGAAAATTCTCTGACATCACTTTTCATAAGACTTACAATCTCATTGACATTAAAAAGTGCAACTAAGAATGGAAGTTGCATTATTGTTTTTCCAGGGTGCACAAAACTTTTGCAGAAGACTTGTCCTCACTTCTAGAACCAGTTGGCTGTGTTGGGCCCAATTCAGTTCACAGAGCTAGGTCATAAGGAGGTTGTGGACATTTCCCATCTCACTTACACTCCATCTCTCTTACTTTCATCTCTCTCTCTCTCTCACACACACACACACACACACACACACATACACACACACACTACCTTTGTTTAATTGTAGGAAGAAAGTGTAAGGTAATTCGCTAAGAGCCCTTGAAAGGTACCCAATGTATGTTTCCAAACAAAACAAAACAAAAAGAAAAGCACAACTGTGGGATTTACACTTGCAGTCAATGTATTGTCCCAAAACATTGAATAAGAACAACTTGGTTTTCTAAAGTTTCCTTTAATTAGGCCCTAAATGTTGAGGGGATTTTTTAAATTAAAAGATGTACAAATATGTAGATATATTTTCCACTTGCTGTTAAAGATTAACTGGAAGCCAACATCTGAACATCTTTAAACTGTAGAGGATGGAATTGTTGGCATCTGTACCTCAATCTGGATCCAATTTCCATGATTAGGGCCTGACTTTATAAAAGGTCAGACAAGATCCCTAATCCTGAACACAAGTGAACTTTAGGATAGTTCACAATCTGAGTCCAGACCCAGACTCGAATCACTGTAAGAGTCTGGTTCAGAACTCCGGATCTGAATGCCTTACCATGTGGGAGTGTTTGAAATCCAGACCTGAACCCAGGTCCCAGTTTTGCAGTTCAGGTCCACTTGTAAATGTTAATATTCAAGTAGAAAACAAGTGTAAGAGGCACTTAGAGCACGAACAGCTGTCATATATGATAGCTAATACTAATGTTGGTGTTAATAACTGTTTATGCACGTGCTGTTCAGTGTAACATTTAGGATACAGTGTGTGTATGTGTGCGCGCGCGAGCAAGAGAGAGAGAGAAGTAAATAACTGGATAGCTGTCACTTTTCTGTTGTGTGAACACAAGTACTCATATTGCAGGGACCATTTCCACTTTTGTCATTTAACTTCTGATTTTTAAATACATTTGTGATAAATTGGGCTCTCTACTAAGATAAACAATACTGGAGCCAAACAGCTGTCTCTGTACATGTGCAAGTTATCACAGCTGATATCAAGTCCAAGACAGACTCCTTGTCTTGGACCTTTCCTTAACCTTTCTGGCTTGATTCAGGGAAATGTGGACCAGTCTATTTTCTTATTAAAACCGTGGTCTTTTGAAATGTCATACTAATTTTTCAAATCCTTTACTCTTACTCACATTTGATGCAGAAAGACTGTAACAATTGTATTTTTGTAAACTGCCGCTTGCTTTGTGTTTGGAAATAATATATATTTATTCTACTGAATTTCATGTAGTTTTGAAACTCGTCTTCAAAAATATCCTCTTACATTCCAGACAGATCAAAAGAAGCTGTTGGCTTCTCGGTGCTGCCTATGTATGACAGTGTATAAAATTATAATTTCAGTAACAAGAGACTGGCTTTATTTACGTTAAAAAAAAAACCAAAAAGATTATTGGACTTAATTAATCTCTAGTGTTTACTCCATCATATGTAGAGGGATGAATTTGGCCCTTTCAGAACCCATGATTATAGTAAAGTAACATTTCCTAAGAAACCCTGCCTGGAAATTATGGGAGAATCCATAATGAGACCATAGCCTTTTGGGGCTTAATTCTATGATCCTTATTCGCACTTTGCAGTGTGTTACTCCACAGGTAGCCCCATTAATTAAATTGGGCCTATTAAGAATAAGGTAACATGGCAGGTGAATAAGAGAGACAGAATGTGTCCTTTCTTAATGAAAGCCTCTAGCCTTTTAAGTAGAGAAGTGGGTTACAATTTGAGAATTTCCAGGCAAAATTTTATGTTCTGGTGTGCACTGTGATTTCCCTTGTATAGTCTGGATTTGTTCTGTTGCTGGAATCCAGATGAAATCAATTGAAGTCCCATGCACAGATGAATGTGATAGAAATCTATAGGAAAATGTTTCAGAATATGCAGAAGTCACCTACTTTTTCAAAAGCGCTGAGACACCCTGGCTCCCGTTAAAGTAAGTGAGAACTCTGGGTGCTCAGCATCTTTGAAAATGAGGCCTTAGGTTGTTAAATGATTCACAGTGTAGTGTATAGAGGAGAATTTTGCTTATTACTTAGAAAATACTTCCACAACTTGGTACTAAGCATACATCTCCCTACACAGTGTGGGCTGATCCTGCAGAACTTCACTGGGGACTCAGCACCTGGCAAGATCAGGCTCCAGTGTTTTAAAACATTGGATGACCAATAAAATAGAGGTGGTTTTCCTGTCTGCAATAAAGATAAAGGGACTGGAAATTTATCACTTGCAACTCTTGCCATGTGACTGTTTTTTGATGCTTGTCACTGTTATCAATGAAGTACTATGTTGTATGTTAAACTGCACTGTAAAATCGGAATACTTTACTGCACGTCTTTTTTTAAAGGGGAAAATAATTGTATGTGTTGCAGTTGTAATGCAGTAAATAAATATATTTTCTTTTAAGGGCTTCTCAGTTATACTGGGGGATTCTCTGTTTTCTTTTCTCTGCCTTGAATTCTTTCCATCCATATGTTTGTGCTGTCCTAGGAACACAGAACAAGAAGGTAGGAAGGATTAATGTCTGCGAGTGTTTGCTGCCTCCTTTCCCATCATCTTCACACACTGCAGGCAAATAAATGATTGTGCTGAACACAGCTACTTGATCCTAAACTCATAACCCTTATTAGAAAATACCAACTTTTCTTTAAGACCATCCTAGCAAATGTGCAAGAAAATTATATCCCTGCAGGTTCTACAGAAAGAGCAAAATCTACAGAACCTTGTTAAGTTTCTACAGGACTCTGTGGGACTTTTCTCTAAGGGTCCCAAATGATGATCCCTGCTCACTGTTCCAGAGGAGAGGGAAACCACACACACACAATATATATTTGGATATAGGGGAATTCCTCCTCTGACCAAAGTTTAGTTTAGTCTAATCCTGTGTAAGTAAACAAGCATTATTATAGTTAGGTATGTACTATACACTTTACTTCTATTTCTCTTACCATTGTGGTATGTGTGGACCCAGAAATATTATTAGTAATCAAATAATTGCCAATTTCTTTCTTGAATTCTAGCAAGAGCGAGTCAGCCAGAAGCATCAAAATTGAAGAACTCCAAAGAATTATTATTTTCTGGCAGTAGGGAAAACCTCTCTGTGTATTTTGCCTAAAAGTCATGTGTTTGGATGAACTTTTGGGATGGTCTCTGTGTTTCCTGGTGCTGTTTAACTCCCGGTGAGCTGTACATAGGGCTTTGTGACCCCTTTATGGTCCTTATGTATTTTGGAGAACACAAGGTTATTAGGGAGAAGGCATAAGATTGCACTTGTGCAAGTTTAAACTCTTCAGTTGAAGTGCAACGGTCATGAAGAGGACTGTGATTGCTACCCTAAGAGGTGCCAGCAACAGTAGAGGGGAGACCATGCAAGCATAGAGGCAACTCTCTGACCTTAGGAAAGTCAGACTATGGTGACCTATAGATTATATCACCATGGTATATTGGCTGCTCAAATCAATACACAAATGACACTGCAACTCTTACTAACAGCTTTTCTCTCTGCAATAGAATCCTCCTTGTGGGTTATTAATTTAGGGGGGCACCAACAGGGTTTGTGTGACCAAGCCCCTACGAGCCCCTTTCATGGTGATAGGCCTGTGTTAGGCCAGTTTTTCTGAAACAGCCAAATAAAACTGGGGAGCCTTTTACTGTGTTGCGGATATTGTGTATAACGCAGGGAATTTACTTCTAGAAGGGAGGGAGGAGAGAGTTGTGCATGAGATTTTCACAGGCTTGAAAAGAAAAACACTCTTTTATGGGTGAGCGAGTAGTGGGCTGACCAAGTTCAGGCTGCCGTGGAGTCTGCAGTTGATCAGTGGGAGTTGATGCAGCCAACGAGAATTACTGTAAATGGTTTTAGAGGCCACAGGAGTATCTTAGGCAGTTATAAATATGTAGGCTGGATATTATTGAAGAACCACCTGTTTTAGATGGTTACCTCGCTGCAAGAGGACAAAGGCTGTTGTTTAGGTCATAACACTGAAAGGTGGCAAGTTCAATAAATAAAAAATAAGAGGGTCAGATCCTTAACTGGTGTAGATGGGCATAGCCTCATTAACGTTAATGGAGCTAGGCTGATTTATACCAGCTGAAGATGTGGCTCATAGTCAATAGGGATCTTACAGAATGGTCAAAAAACTAATTTTGTAGTTCTTCTTCGTCTAATGCCTGAGCACTAGATTGTAACTGTACAAACGTCCTTGCCAGTATAATGATGTCATTTTGGATCTGAACACTCGTGATATGGTGAGGTAATACTAAGGGAAAAAAGAACCATCATTATAAACCTATTAAATTAGAAAAAATGGAGCAAGATTGCAGAATGATAAATATTGAATGAAATAAAAACCAACAGTGGGGAGTTAAGAGGGAGTGAAATTTTAAGGCGTATTCACTTTGTGGAAATCACCTTGCAGTAATACCAGTGCTATGTGTAGGAGGCGAGTATTACATCCAGCAGAGATTAAAGACAGAGGGTTTTTTTTTCCCTAAATTAATATTTCAGGCTTTCTGAATTTCATTTCTTGACATTTCATGAATGCAGCCTCAGCTTCCAACTGCGGAAAAACACTCTGATAAACACACATTGCTGGAGCGAATGAAACTGAAGTCTCATCCGGTTTTACCGTAGCATTCATGGTATTACTAAGGATTGTAATATAATCCTCTTCAATGAATAACCCTAACAGATGTTATCAGGGTTGCACTGTATTAGCAGTGGACCTCTTGATAGAACTCCCTCAGCGGAAGTTCATAAATTGTTCTAATGGGCTGCTTGATTTGCCTGGCTGTTTGAGCAGTGTGGAAGAGAGGTGGTTAACAGTGTCCTTAAAATAAGCATTATTCCCATCTGGTATCCATTACAATGCTGTTAAATATTTCATGCTTTTCATGTTACAAACAAATAAAAGCAGAACTAATCTTTTTGTTTAATGTTCCTTGATTGGCACTCTGGATGAATAAGCTGTATATTTGAACTGCCAATCTTGCTGTGGCTCCTCTAGGGGTTTGAGTGGAAGATAGAGCAGATCTCCATGAACTTTTGAGGTGGGATTTTTATTACACTATTGATATAGAAAATGATATAGAAAAATCCAGATGATGAATGTGCTGTTTAATCAGCTGGGATTTCTTCACTTGCAAAAAGATAACTTGATGAAGTGCAAACAGAGACAGGGAGCAGACGGTGACGGCTTGTCGGCTATATACAGGACTGTCTCCTGCTGTGATGGCTGGGAAACTCAATAGCTATTACTGCCACTTTGCCCTTTTATAGCTGCTTCCATCAGAGGATCTCAAAGCGCTTTACCATTATTGATTCTTTAAACTTCACAACTCCCTGTGCGGTAAGTATATCTTGTCACTCCCGTTTTACAGAACAGGAAATTGTACCATAGGGAAGTTAAATCCAGCATTTTCAAAGCTGGGATACCTAAATCCAGAATTAGGCACCTAGATGAAAGTGTCCTCATTGGCTATGTGGGTGCTTGGTACCTCTGAAAATAAGGCTACTTTTTTCAGTGCCAAAGGCCTTAATCCTGCAGTGATTTCCGCATAGGTGGACCCCTGCACAGTGCCTTTGGATTACACAGGGGGCTTCGTAGAGGCATAGTGTTCCACTTGCACGGACTTCGTCTGAGGGTCAGGACCTAAGTTTGGATGCATGTGCCTAACCTTAGACACCCACTTTGGAAAAAGTTGGCCTAAGTGATCTGCCCAATGTTTGCTTCATGTCTAAAGCAGATTCTGGGATAGAATCCAATCCTCTGATTCCTGTTCTTTAACCACTATGCCATGCTACCCTTTCTTTGACATTTTGTAAAGTATGTTGTCATCTTATTCTCAGCAGTTAGCTAGAGTAAGCATCCCACCAAGCCTACCCTCAAGAAAGATAGTGTGGGTGTGGATATATATATAAATTGGGTCAAATTTCACCCATTGGATAAATCCACAGAACTTTCCCCCTTCCCCACCCCCAGCGTGTAATGCATCAGATATACAGTTTCTGACTGCTTATCAGACTGAATTCAGAGGCAGAGGTGGGTGTTAAACAAGAGCAGAGAACCCTGATGATAGGCTGTAAACAGGCAAGTCTTTCAGTAGGAGCCTGGACTATGCAGATCAGGACACACTCACAGCATCTTACATATTTTATTTAATATAGAATCATAGAACCATAGGCTTAGAAGGACCACAAGGGTCACCTAGTCTACCCCCCTGCCAAGATGCAGGATTTGTTGTGTCTAAACCATCCAAGACAGATGGCTGTCCAGCCTCCTTTTGAAAACCTCCAGTGAAGGAGCTTCCACACCCTCCCTACACAGTCCGTTCCATTGTCCTAATATCAAATATATTTTCAGTTTCTGTAGCACTGTACATCTGAGGATCTCAAAGCACTTAGCAAACTTTAACAAATTAAGTCTCAACACGCCCTTGTGACGTGATTTTTTTATTAACCACTGAAGTGCAGCCACTTCTGAAGTGGAACACTGCAGCTATTTAGCAACTCACCACAACAGTACAGGACAGGAATATAAAAATGGACTGTGACCCTTACTACAGTTCATGGCAGTAAATCCTTTGCACTGTTGAACTGAACATACTACTTTTAGTTTGTTTAAATCCAAGAATGGTAAATGATGAGTCATAAAAATTTAGGAAATCAGTAGAGTACAGAGTGCAAGCAAGCCTCATAGTGTCTGATCTGCTGTCACTGATACTATCCACAGAAGACAAGGGTTTTTCTTCATTCCTGGACAAATGAACTGCAGCATGTATGAAATCTCTACAGGCCATCTGTGACAGTAATTCATTTACCCGCAGTATTACAGAACAGATTTTCCAGTGAGCTCAAAAGGGCAGGGAGAAAAAAGTAGCATGATGAGAAGAATCTGTGACCTGTGTCTGAAAATAAAAAAATATTATTCAGTTGTCATGCCTGATGGATAGTGTGTGTGATGCACAAGGCAAAGCCACAGCAACTAGATAAATGTTTAAAACATTTAACTTTGATACATTAAGAATGAGTTGCAATGCAGGCTTATTGAGGTTGAAATTAAGCAGACATTTCTGCATTCCTGAAATCAGTCTTCTGAAATTGTTTAGCTTGGAAGAAATTTCGTTGCAGATAATGTGGAAGTGTAAGGGGAAGTTGGTCTTCAGACACGATGGAGCAGTTCTGAAAGGTCACGATTACCTTTTTTTTTCAACTGTTGCTTTCCAGCTGCCAGCAGCCCCTAGCTGATTCGCTTTAGACCAGAAGAGGGCCTCTACAGATACTTGGTTTCTACCTTTAATTGAAATGAGCACGTTAATTTATAACTTTAGCAGCTACAATATATAATATATTCTCAGTATTTTCCTAACACTTAACGTCTTGGAAATGGTAATTAGTAACTCATTCTCATGAACAGTCAATTAGTTGTGTGGCCTTAGGTGTCAGATTCACCCTTGATGTAATTCCGACGAGGTCAATGGAGTTATAGCAGGAATTAATTTAGCCCACACTAGCTAATGAGTTTACATAACATTTAACTTCGGGTACCCACTGAAGAGTTTTGGGCTTAGCACCAGGGACCTCAGTGTTTCTTCATAAAGTTGTCCCACAGAAGAACAGGGGAAAAATATGTCTAAAAACTGGTTTCTGCAGCAACATGTCTGAAAGAGGGAGCCTTTCACCCCCAAAACACTGAGGAAAGGGAGCAGGAAGTGGGGATTAGGGGGATTTTGCCCAGCTGTGCCTCCTAAACCTTCATTTAAAGGGACTGTTCCAATCTCCTGTTCTCCCCTCTGCTATGTTACACTTTCTTTGAGGGTTTTTTTTGTTTAAATCTCCACAATTCATGGCAATTGTAAGTGCTCACTTCAGCCTTTATGAATGTAGGCATGCTCTGTAACACTGGTGCTAGGAGTCAGTGAAGCACCCACACTGAAGAGTAAGGAGAATTTCTCCTCCCCTTCAGTCCCATCTTTGCAAAGATGCCCACTGTTTGGGCTTGGCGTTGAGTCCCTGGATCTGGCCTTACTGGAAGGACCAGTCTTCTTAAGTTAGAGTATTTTCTGATGGGATATTTTGCATCATCTCAGCATGGTCGTGCAGTCAGCACTGGGTTATGGGAATCAGAATTTCTGGGTTCTGAGCCTGACTGTCAAAACTACTCATTGCATGATCCTGGCCAAACTGCTTAACCTCTCTATACCCCAGTTTGCAAAATGGGAACAATACTTACCATACCCATTTCACTGGGGGGTTATGAGGCTTGAGCTGTTTATGCTGGTGAAGTAGTTTGAGAATCTCAGATAGAACTGTTAAGTATTGCTGGTCCAAATTCTAACCTCAAATATGGACTCATAACCTGTAATTCACTCAATGAGAACTGAGTGTGTTTAGTTGAGGGCAGAATGTTTCCTGATAATACTATACTATTGCTTTTATCATGGACAACATCTCCATATAAAGAAGAGACAGCTCCAGGCTGAAATTTTTTGGCCACCCCTTGTATACACCGAATAAACTACTTTAAACAGCAGCTCACTGCTGAAGGCTATTATGGTTCTCCAGCCTGAACTATGCTTGGAAGGCTTTGTTGGTATAGCTATGCGTGCGCATATATGTATGTACACACACACACGCTACACAATATTAGCACTGCACTCCTACTGTGGACACAGCTTGTACCAGCAAAACTCTGCTTTTGCTGGCATGGCTTATTCCAACTCCTCTGAGTGAGATAAACTATACTGGCAAAAGTGAAAGTTTTGCCAGTTTAACTATGTCTCTATTGGGGGCTTTTGCTGGTACAGCTCTGTTGGTCACAAATCACACCTCATCACCCCTTCAACTGACATAGGTATGTCAGCAAATGTGTGTAGGGTAGACCTGGACTGAACATGGGCATCATTTGTGAGGCTGTCTCACAACTGGGACTTGGGCAATAAGGCCTAGTGCAGGGGTTCTCAAACGGGGGGTTAGGACCCCTCAGAGGGTCGTGAGGTTATTACATGGGGGGTCACGAGCTGTCAGTCTCCACCCCAAACCCTGCTTTGCCTCCAAAGTTTTTTTAATTTATGGGGGGGGGGTCACACTCAGAGGCTTGCTGTGTGAAAGGGGTCACCAGTACACAAGTTTGAGAATCATTGGCCTAGTGGTCAGAGCAGCAGCGGCCAGAGTCAGGAACCAGGAGTTAGAGTCAAGGTCAAGGGTCCAAGAGACAGGCATTATTCAACTGGCAGAGGAGCCCACTTGTTGCTCAGACACTTCCTGGCCCACCTCCTGGATCTAAATAGGGTGCCTGGGCCAACCAGGGGTGACACGGGAACCTGTTGGTCTGACCTTCTGAGGTGGGCTTTCCTGTGAAATTTATCCCCACAGAGTCTGTGGTAATGCACCCAGCCCTACCAGAGCTGCTGGTTAGTGTTGCAGAAGTGTTGGCCATTATGCACCTTGCAGACCTGCATTCCAGTCCTATCCCTGCAGAACGTCACATGGTGAATATGCCCTTGAGTAAATAAAAACTGCTTAGATCAGCTCTCCCATTTCTGGTTATTGCACTTTGCTTTTTTATAAAACTAGTGAAGGTCACCCTGGGTCCTTGGAGAGAGAGAGACAACCAACAGCCTAAGAAACTTCAGAGAGGCCATTTACTATGTGAAAAGGTAGCAATTTTGCCCCAGGATATCTTAAGTAAAATGCGAAGGAGAACAAAAATCATGCAGAGGTCCATAGAAGCACATGTCAGGAAAAGGAGGAACGGAAATAAATGGAAAGGACAAGTAGGTGGAGGGGGGGGGAGAAATAATAGCATTTACACATGGATAATAAAAGAGAGTGTGTGAAAAATGAAGTGACAGCTTTCTAGAAGAAGTCCGGGAAAAGTGGAGCAGCAGCAGATGGAAATCTTGCATCAGTAGGAACGGGGGAGCACAGGGGCGGCAGCAAAGAGGTGGGAGTTGAACCAGAAGGAAAGGTTTTAAAAATGATCTAAAGTGTAGTGCTGGCACAAAGGGAGAGTGACCCAGAGGTTACATTTTAAGGGGATGATGGTCTTGTTGTTGGGGCAGTGGATTGGGAATCAGAAGCTCTGGGTTCTATTCTGGTTCTGCTAAAAACATCCTCTGTGACAAAGGATAAATCATTTAGGTGCAATCCTGGTCCCAGTGAAGTCAATGACAAAACTCCTATTGACTTAACTGGGGCCAGGATTTCACCCTTAAACTCAGGTTTTCAAAAACATCCACTCATTTTAGGTGCTTCTCTTTTGCAGGGCCTGGTTTGAGACACATTAACCTTAGAGTTGGCTGAAAAGAGGAATTTCCCACCTGTGAAAAAATGTCTCCCAAATCAGGCTCAAAGGTCACAAATTTGAAAATTTTTGTGGGAGGAAAAAGTGTGAAAAATTTCTTTCTGGAAGAACCAAAATGCAGTTTTTCAGCTTGCTCCCTGGGTGGCTGGCTTTCTGACTGCGTGGGCAGCTCCTTCTCCAGGTTACCCACCTTCACAGGTAGTCAACCACCCCAGTTTCCCAGCCAGCTTGTGCCCCATGCGTCTTGGTTCACTGGGCAGCTGCCTTACTGGGCTGCCCAGGTACTCTCACAACTTGCCTCTGGGTGGCAGGAATCCAGACAGCAAGGCTGGCCAGCCAGCTAGTCTGCTTGCTTGCCTGGTTTTCATCGAAAGTTTTGACAGAATTGACACATTCCTGCAGACCGTTTTGGTTACATTGAATACGAATTTTCCAAGGGAACAAGTGTTCTGTCAGAAAATTTTTGATCAGCTCTAATTTGCATCTCTCTATGCATTTATAGAACGCTCCTGTAACAAGAGGCATAATCTGCTTCTTATTGGGCAGCTGTCAGTTACTACTCTCACGGAATCTGGGCAGCTTTATGATCACACAGCCAGGCAATCAGAACTGACTGGAACATTTGGAGGGCAGCATTTATGCTCGGGGGATGGCTTGTGACCATCAGTAGTGGGCCTGGTTCACACACTACCATGTTACCATTATGCTTAATGGCCAAAAGCTATAAAAACCAGGGGAGCTTCACCAATCTTTCAGTAAGGGGCTGAGACCCAGCAGTGAGAATCCTGTAAGATGATTTCTTCAGAGCAGCAGCATGACAAGGTAGGTCATTTTTCATTGAGATTGAGATGTAAACCAGTGCCCTAAAGGGAC